TAGCAGACATGCCAGTAAGAATAATGAGGAGAAAGATAAATAAGATGCCGGGCAAGCATTCCAGATCCTGTTTTTTCCAGAGAGACCTAAATCTGTGCTCTAGAAAAGAATTATATATAAGCATTACATATTAAGAATTATATATTTTATATCAAGAACATTAAACTAAGAGCATGGAAAAGACCACACCTCATAATCTACAGACATCATAAGGCATCAATTCCCCATGCTTATGAACAGATGACCAGCATAAAATATAGTGCAAATTCAGGAAGCTCTGCCTTACAACTGAAAAATGTATTTAAAAGCTTGGTGAAGTAGATTCTTTTGCCACACACTTTTTCCTTTCTCCTTATTAACTGAATAATAATATTGGTTCCATTAATAGTGATCCATATAAAATGTCTGTCTATTCAGAAAGACCATGTTTGCATAACCCACTTAGCACAGTCTTGCAGTTTCACTAGGTAGATAATAGATAGCTTTGTAACTGCATATTTAAATGTTAATATTGTACTTTAAATTCATCGTATCCCACTTGATAGAGATTATTTGAATTGCTTAGAATAATTCAAGCTTTGAAGCCCATCTATGTTTTATATTCATTCTGTACTAAGATTGCAGGGATTCAAAGAAGCTTTTTTGCTAAATTGAAAAGCAGTGGAAGAATCTAATGACATATCTACTCATGTTATTATTATTCCTTTAATGGAGTAGTTTCAAAAAAGTCACATTCTCAATACTTCAGAAAGGAAAGGTTTGCTGGAAGATAGTTTTGATGTTCTCTTGAAATTTTTTAATGGAAGGAGAGACATAGCGTGAGGTTACCTCACCAACTGACAGTAAAGCATTAAATCAGAATTAAAATTGGTGATATTTTAAAAATAATGAAGTCATCAATTAAAGGCCTGTTTTGAAAAGACATAGTCTGGCAGGTTTTTTAAAACTGACAAAGGGGTGTTTGTCTTCAGCCCATTTAAAAATTTGTTCCAAAAAAATTGAGAACCTTTAAGTCACCTCAAGAAAATTCCATCCAATCATATATGCATTAACTCAGATGATCACAATAGATTGATAGGAATTTATACAGAAAGAGTGACTGTCTTCAGTTATATACTAAAATAGGTTAGATATATATTTAAAGGAATTGTAAGCACATTCTCTGAAATCTTCAAACTAATTTTCTTTTCATCTAGAAAAAAATGAAATATATATTTTTTTCTCCTGGATAAAATGACGGTAGTTTTAAACAATAGAAATGTTCAGCACAGTGTTATTCACCTGGATAAAATGACGATAGTTTTAAACAATAGAAATGTTCAGCACAGTGTTATGATAATGTTTATCAGTGTCAGAGAAACTCCTCAGACAAACTCCTCTGAATTTATAAAGGATTCAGCAGAAGGAAAAATAGAGGGCTAGCAATGGTAATTCTGTATTGATACCAATATTCATCACTGAAGTAAATCTAAAAAGAACAATATGATCTTCTAATTGGGCATGATCTCTCCTAATGTATCAGTGTCTGAAACTGCCTGAAACTGTTTAGAAGTGAAATATTTATCATTTCATTGATTAATTATGTCTATCAAGCTATTTTTAACTCCTAGCAATCGCATAGATAGATCTCCATGATGATTTGTCCCTAACTTGTTCTTTCCAAGTCTTCCAATGGTACAATCATTGCCACTAATTTAGTACACCCACCTTGCTGCTGGTTGTCCTCTTCTCTTTCTTTCCACCTTTCCAAGCATTAGAGGCTTTTCCAAGAGGTTGGTCATTACAAAAATAGGTCTGGATAATCTGAGTCCAATCACTTGTGCCTTGAGTGAGAACTCTGGATTGATTTGTTTCATGTTCCATTGCTTTGTTTTCGTGGCCTTCCACAATATTCACAGAAGTCTTCTCCAGCACCAAATTTCAAAGGCAACAATATTCTTCTTATCCTGCTTCCCTTATTTAATTACCTGCCATGAAATCAGTGGTGTGTTTCCAAATTGTTTCCTACCAGTTCTGTGTGCAGTTCTATGCACATACGTGGAGGACTCAAAGATCAACCTCTGTCAAGGCTGGTAAGCTGAGCTGTTTTTTAGCTCAGTTGAGATGTGGCAATCTAATCTGCCACGCAAACCAGCTGAGCTAAAAAAACAAGGGAATAGAGGAGAGGTAACCAGGTGGGGCGTGTTGGTAGGTGGGGCCAACCAGAGGTAGTATTTGCCAGTTTTGAACTAGGCAAAATTTCTGCTACCAGTATGCCAGAACCAGTCCGAACTGGCTGAATACCACCTCTGCATGAAATGTTATTTTAGTCTATTACATTCTGAATTTGTTCTCAACATTAGTGGCTACATTAAAAAGAAAATAGAGAAAAATAAGGAAAGTTGAAAAATTGCTCCTATAAATTAATTTATGTACTTTTTTATACATTTTGATAAACAATTCAATGAATTTACAGTTTCTGTTCAAGTTAGGATAGCTTCTGTTTATTGAAAAAAGAAAAAAACAAAGAAAGATAATGGGAGAAATAGGGGAAAATATATCAAGATATAATCTAAAAACTTAACATTATTAAATGAAAGATTAAAATCATCGTTATAGGCATATCTTTGGCTTGCTGAAAAATTAGCTTCATGGGTAGCAGTAAAATCAGTGTTATCTGATGATAGCAATAGTATTGTTAGATGTTAATAATACTATCAAACATTTTAGTTTGTGGCATAATCAGCAACAATAAAATTCTAGAAATTCTTACTTAAGCACTCAAGAAATAATCTAGTACTGCAATGATGTATAATAGGCCTTAATGATTAATTCACTATCTTACAGCATAGCATTAATTTTGTAGTTGGTAGTGTTTTAAAAATGCTGTCCATGGCAGACAAGGGAGATCATATGTTGTCCATTCAGAAGTAATTTTGCAAGTCTCCCACTAGTCTTGAAGAAAAATTCATCTGTGTCCTTACAGCTTGTTAACTGTTTTTTTTAATTTATTCAGTAAATATATATATATCATATTTATACACACACATGTAAGATAGCCACTATATTCTGAATCTTGTAACCCTCAGATCATCTTGATATTTAACATGGCACTCTGCAATGAGTGAATATTGGGGTACAGATCACTGAGGCTAGCTTGTTTAAGTCCAGAGAGAGGTAGCAGTTGATTCATGGTGTCATTTGACCGGTTTGGGTCATGTCTTTGTTTTTGTTACTCCTAGCTCCTGGTTATCTATCTTGCTTTTAGCCTAACCAGCTGCCTACAGTTTAGCATTCCAAGATATGTTTTTATCACAAGTGCTGCATGCAAATTTGATCTAGTCTATTCTTTTCCTTTAAAAGGAAAACAAAGCATCAAACAATATCATTTAGAATGGGCTAAAATTGATCAATGAGACATTGGTTCCAAAATTCCTATTAGTGCCCCTAGTTGTTTATCTTGTTGGCACATGCTTATTGTTCATTTATCATTATGAAAGAATGTCATCTTAAGAAAGAAAAATGCAATTAAATGAAAAGAGATTTTCTTTGAAACTCAGTTCCATTCTCTATTTCATAATTCTGCTCAGCTAATATCATTCTTCCATAGAGGGATGAAAAAATAATTTCCTCAGCATGACACATACATTGATTTGCTACTGAAAAAGGAAACACTATTCTGGCTATGTATGGTCATATTTTCAACAAGTATCACTTAGAGCGATATCATTTTGACTAAGTTCAATGTTTATTTAAAAACTGTTACTTGAGATTCTTATGGTATGAGATTTGGCAGCCTAAGTCACAATAATACACTGATTAATTAAAATAAAATCCTATTGAAGTAGCTCAGACATCATTCATACAAGTGAACGATATACGAGTTCATAAGCAAAAAATGGATAGGAATTAAGATTAATAGGAACTACACATCTGTTCATTTGCACAGATAAATTTGCAGATGAACTCACTGGATTTCTGCTCTTTTCATCCTGCAGGTTATTCACCCATTTTCTTTCAGCTCAACATATTTCTGACACTCCCATAAACAAGTTGAGAAACATGTTCCATTAAACTTTATTTAATTTAGAATTTTATCTAGCAAGATAAATTAAAGTTTAGTTAATATAACCCTCTCTGCCTACTCTTTTGATGATTCACAGCAAATATGGTGTTCAGCAGGTTCTTACCAGTTCTGGAAAACTGGTTGCAGAAATTTTGAGTAGTTCAGAGAACCAGCAACTACCACCTCTGACTGGAGATTTTATTTATTTATTTATTTATTTTATTTGTCAATCACTTACAATAGTTATAAGTATAAACAAGACTAAGAATACTGGAAATAGGTATGAATAAATGGGGACAATAGGACAGGAATGGTAGGCACGATGGTGCACTTATGCACATCCCTTACAGACCTCTTAGGAATGGGGTGAGGTCTGTTGAGGTAATTCCCCGTTAGGAGAATGAGTGCATACAGGGAGACGTATTGAGATAAGTGTTTTAATAATACACACACAGCACACAGATACAGTGTACAGTAAATGTAGATTTTTTTACTTTCAATAAAAGTTTAAGCAAAGTTCAAACAAGCAGTCCAAAGTCATTCACAGGTTAAATCAGTCAGTTTTCAGTCCAGGGATAATCCAATATCAAAGTCCAGTGTCAAAAACAGTTCAGTATCAGACTTACATCAAATCCAGAAATATCAGTCATTAGAAGGAATGGCAATTCCTTCTCATTGAGACTTCTTCTGAGTCTAAGACTAAGACAACCCAGGTTTCTGGCTCCATCTTATGGCCATTTGAGAAACCACACCCAATTACACTTTTAGGATTCTCTTAAAGAGACAGTATTAAAATGTCTATCCTGGTTTATATATTTCCAACCCATATAGCTGTTAGGTGACTTACATTCCTAACAAGTTCAATAGTGGATAGTTTGAGGTTAAAGGAGTGGGGGTTAGAGGATGTAACAAAAGAGTCAGGTAGTGCATTCCAGGCATTGACTCTGTTGCTGAAATCACACTTTCTGCAGTTGAGTTTGAAGTGGTTTACATTGAGTTTGTATCTGTTGTGTGTTCTTGTGTTGTGGTTGAAGCTGAAGTAGTCATTGACTGGTAGGACATTGTAGAGATAATTTTGAGTGCTACACTTAAGTCAAACCGTAGGCACCGTAGTTCAAGGTTGTTCAAGCCCAAAATCTCAAGTCTGGTGATATAGGGTATTCTGTTGCGAGCAGAGGAGTGGAATACTCTTCTAGTGAAATACTTCTGGACTCACTCAATTGTATTAATATCTGATATACAGTACAGATTCCAGACTGAAGAGCTGTATTCGAGTATTGGTCTAGCAAAAGTTTTGTATGCTCTAGTTAGCAATTCGATATATTTGGAGGAAAAGCTTCGTAAGATTACATTTACAACTCTTAATCCCTTTTTGGCAATGCTGTTACAGTGAGCTCTGACACTTAGGTCATTTGATATGAGAACTCCAAGGTTCAGTGTGAGGATCATCAACGAGGTCATATCTGCCTACTTTGTATTTCGTGTCTTGATTTTTTTTAACAATGTGTAGGACAGAGCATTTGTTGGTTGAGATTTGGAGTTGGCCAATTGTTTGACCATTCAAACACATAATCAAGGTCCCTTTGAAGGACAGTAGCATTGTCGGTGGTGTTGAATAGTTTCACGTCATCTACAAAGAGGATGCAGTTGCTTATAAGGTGATCGCAAAGGTCATTTATATAGAGTATAAAGAGTGTGGGTCCAAGAACACTGCCTTGGGCGACACCACTGTTAACTGGAGCAGAGTTTGATACAGCGTTCCCTATTTTTACTATTTGTTGTCTGTTTGACAGGAACGCAGTAATCCATTTATCCAGAAATGCTATAAGAGTTTAGTTTAAAAGTAGTTTTTCATGTACCACTGAATCAAAGTCTTTGCAGAAGTCTATGTAAATTGCATCTATAGCTTTACCCTGCTTAAGTAGAGTAGTCCATATGTTTTTGCAGTGTAAGAGTTGAAGATTGTAGGACATTTTTTTCCTGAAACCAAATTGTTTTTGGGAGAGTAGGTTGTTTGACTCTAAGAGGAGGGGTGATGAATTGGTTAATGATTGATTCCATGACTTTGCACGTGACACAACACAGTGATATTGGTATTTAGTTTTCAACCAAAAACCCAAAACCAAAAGGCTGGGGTTGAAGATAGGTATGACCGTAGCTAAAGACCACAGATTTGAAGATAGGTATGACCATAGCTAAAGACCATAGGTTTGGCAAGGAGCTAGTTCTGAATGATATCTCATATATAATGCTTAGGGGTTCCGCTATTGCAGAGGAAAGCTTTTTTAAGAAGTATGGCACATAATCCACTGGGGCCAATAGATTGGCATGGTTTTAGGTTATATAGTGCCTTTTCTACATTATCTTCTATAAAGTCCGTATCGGGTAGGTCGTTGCAGTTAGTTGTGGTACAGCTAGGAAATGTGGGGCATGAACCATTGCTGTTTACAAAGACTGAACTGAAGAATGTGTTGAAGAGATTGGCCTTAATGACTTCATCATTGCAGTCTTTCCCATTTGGTCCTTTTAGGGGTGGGATGGTTCTTGAGTCTTTAAGTTTGGTGTTTACAAAATTGTAGAAAGCATGGGTGGGTTTTGTATGTAGGAGGTTTTCCTCTTGCTTGCAGTGGTAATTTGTGCATCCTGCCTTTTTCTGTCAGCATAAGGTGTTGTATTGGTTTTTAAAGTTTGCTACGTAGCTAGTTTTGTTTTTAGGCCATAGTGATCTTTTTTTTAACTGAAGTTTCCTTATTGTTATGAGAGTAATTTGTTTTTCTTGTTTTTGGGGGTTACTAATGGTACATATAGTTTAATGACTCTTTCAAGTTCAAGCAAGAATGCATTATAATGGTCTTCTGTATTATTAGAGCTAGGGAACAGAATGTTCTTTTACAGTATCCTTCCCCTGCCATGTCCACAGAACTGATAGTAAAAAAATTTGAATCCCACCACTGATTCAAAGATCTTATAAAAACTATAATTAAATGCAATGTGCCTAATAATTAACACATTTGTTCTCTGTAGACTTCTTAATCAAGACTGGACATGCGAATAGCTTGCCCCTGTTTTCAGGAAAGCCTGCCATTTCACCCCCACCCCCACCCCCACCCCCACCCCATATAATAGTCTAAGCAGAGATACAGTAAAAATAACAAGAGGTTGGATGACTCACCTATGTGGTATTTTATGTATTTCTCATAGTTTGATTGTTCTGTAGTGATTGGTCAAAGACAATTTCACTAATTAATTTTGGAATTAGTGTCTGTACAATATATCCTTGCCACAGCTTTCAGTGTTCTCTATTAATGGCAGGCTGTTTTTCCCTTTAATAAGCTATGTACATGAATGAAATAATAAATATTAAAACTTTACAGTTTTTCTTTGATTTTCAGCCTCTGATAATGATGCTCATGATCATATCAATATCCCATAGTAATTCCCATTTTACCAGTTTCATTATAGCTACATATTTAAGTTATATTCATCTATGCTCACTTTGTGCTAAACTTGGTAATTTTATATAAAAGAGCAGAAACAGTCAAAACAGTAGAGACATTATCACAGTTTATGTATACTATACAATATAGTAGGCAGTTCAGTAGAACTATAGTAGCTGAGTCAGGGAACAGTAAATCAATTATTAAAAACAATTGTTTAAGAATAGATCTTAAGTGTAGTGTTTGGCCTAACCTGCTGTTGGTTTTTTAAAATATATTACAATTAAATGTTGGTTCTATTTGATTATCAGATGGAGATCCCCTCACCTGGAATATTTTTTATTTAATATAGTTTTCTTGTTAAATAAGGATAAGAAAGCATATAACTATTTGTAGACCTGCTATGTAAAGGTGAGAAGAATGTATTGTGTTTTTTCCCCCAGCATCCAGCCAGGGTGGATTTTTTATGGTTAATATTAAATTGAATTGATATTTGGGGCATTTTTTTCTTTTCTATACGCATTTTTTTCTTGGCCTTTTGTTGTTCTTAGTATGTTAGTATGGATGCATGTTTTTCTGTTGTTTTGAATTTTATTCTTGTTGATAAAACAAAATAAATATATATTAAGAATGAGTCTTAAGGATTTTTTTTCTATTGTTGACTTAAATCAAATACTGCTGTTGGAAAGACAGAGAACTCAATAGACAAAGAAAAGAATCTTTTAAAAGAAAGACTGATTGAAATTATAATTCAACTCTCCCATGATCCAGCAGAGGTTGATCACAAATTGGCTGAGATAAAACAACATGAACCAAAATTCTGAAGTAGTTTGTAACTGAATAGCAAATCAATAACCTGTTTCTGCAGAGATTTTCCGGCTCCAGATTAGATATTTTTTAAAATCTTATCATAGATCCTTAATGACACCAATGTGAGAATTTCAATGCATTGGCTCCTTGATCAGTCATCATAGGCTTGTTAACAGGACCATTTTAGTAGTTCAGAGGAAGGCTGCCCTTGTAGGGACTGAGAGCCACTCAGGAGAAACACAACTTTCTTTGCTACAGTGTCTTAACTGAAAATTGCGGGAAAAAATTGCTATATCTGAATCAATCCCCCAAGTGAAACAGAATAAATGCCCTATCCCTCTAATTTCTTTTTTGACTACCAACTTAAACTATTCTCTTTGGTACATGCCTGATTGATTATCTTCTTATATAAAGAGTAAAAGACAGGCTGGATTGCTATAGTTGTTCATTTGCTAGTGAATTAGTGGGCAAAATGGAAATTCTATTCTACTTGTTATGCTAAAGTGAGCATTTGGATGGTAAGTATTATGCAGTGTGATTGATGTGATAAGTCATTCCATCAAAATTAATTTCCTAGGCATATCAGAAAAGTCATAATTATTTATGGACTGTGATCTTGGACAGCTCTAAAACTGGTATATTTACTCCATGCTCAAAGTTGCTCACATGCATAATAAAATAAGCAATATATAGATCCAGCATGTATATTTAAGATTTTCATGAAATACTATGTATGCCACATTAATACTCTAGCAAACATTACACTTACAATTTCCCTAATCACCAAACAATATCCCTTTCATAAATAATAATATAAATAATAAATAAAACATACATAATAAAAAGCATCCATATTCAGTTAATGAGCTTTAGACTGACAAATCAAAATAAATAAAAAGAAAAGTAGCTGAAAATTTATTTATTTTATTTATACAGTGGTACCTTGGTACTCATTGTTAATTGGTTCCGGGAAGAACGATGAGTACTAAACAATTTTTTCCCCATAAGGAATAATGTTGTGAATCACAAGGCAACTTCTAACTTGTGTGTTGAGTACCAAACAAACAATAAATACTGGGACAAAAATTTTGTGCCAAAGTGTGTTGAGTTCCAAATTTGATGAATTTCAAAGCAGTTGAGTACCAAAGTACCACTATATATCAAGCTTCTTAATCTCCCATCTTCTTCATAGAGAGCTCTGGGCAGAATATACATTAGAGGTAGTAGTCAACTTATGACCATTCATTCAATGACTGTTCAAAGTTACAGCAGCACTGTAAAAAGGGAAACTTATAACTGGTCTTCATATTTATGACTGTTGCAGTATCATCAGGTGTAGGATCAAAGTTTGAGCACTTGACAATTGACATGTATTTTACAAGTTGCAGCCATTTGCAATCTTCTCAGGAGATGTCTGACAAGCAAAGTTGATAAAGGATACCATATTTGCTTAATAAGTCTGTGATTTGTTTAATATCCATGGCAAAAAAGGTTGTAAAATTAAGCTTGACTTACTTAATCACATCGCTTGCTAATGGAAGATCTGATACCAATTGTAGTCATACATTGAGGACTATCTGTATTATAAATTTGTCACCGTGTAAACTAGTTAAAGTCAACATTCATCAGATCAGCAGAATTACCATTGTAGTCAAATGAATACCTTTTTGTTCTCTTTCTGCTTTGTTTGGAGACAGGCACAGCAACAGCTCTCCAATATACTCTTATTCCTTTTTTAACTGCATCATTTATCTAACTCCATCACTTTGCCTTCCCTAAAGAAGCTATAGGCCAAAGGAACTAGGTACTATAGAGATTCCTGTTTCCTATTCATTTCCAGATTTCTTTTTTGTATTTTATGTGTACATAACCGTAGTTTTCTCAAGTGTTCATAATGGGATAATTAACATGTTTAAATAAGGCATTTTTTAACAGAAGTGAAATATTTTAATTTCAATCACACACACAAAAACACACACATAATATCAAGCTTTAAAAAGATCAAAATCTGGAGCTATGCTTTAGGCGATAGCTTGGCATAGGAAGAATTCTCCTGAAACCGCCATTATTTTGGTCCTATTAATAAAGCATTTCTAACAATTGCTTCTCAAGCAATTTCACCAATACCTTTTAAATACTGTGAAAGTGTTACGTGCATATGAAAATCCTTTGGGGTTCCTGTGTTTTGACATTATTGTATTTATAAGAATTTATGATGCCTTGCAATCTATCCCCCTGCTAAGCCTATGACTTAGACAAAGTAGTGAGCATTGCTAAGTGCTGTGTGCAGTTACCAGAGGTAAGGTTTATTGGATTCAGTGGGAAGGTATTGGGTTGTACAATAAATGATTGGATTATTAACTAAGCATACTGTATATGCATGGATGGAGAAGCTCCTATTAAAAAAAACAAAAATTGTGCAGTGCTGAGCACAATAAATGCCAAATTGAATAGTTTAAAAGTTATGTTATTGAGCCTATAAAACTATTCTATAATTGACTGAATATAAAAAGGTTAATTAAGACAGCTCCTTAATAGCATACCTTTTAAAAACAAGTCTCTGTGGTGCAGGATGGATGAGAATATATAGGAACAGCTAATTATGCTACAACATGGCATTTTTATTGTTAATTTTCAAAGAACTAACATTCCAACAATAATTTGTTAGTCGGTACATTTGTGAGATTTAAATGGGAAGTTACCTCTTGTCTCAGCAAGGAAGTAATTGGTTTCAGTGCATTTAAACACAGAATATTACTTGTGACATGGTCTTTTTATTTATTCAAAGAGACAACTGAACCTATAGTATTGGTAGAAATGTAATTTTAAAGGAACCCCTGAAGTTTCTGGTTTGCTTGTTTTTTAACAAATGTGAGAAGATTCTGACTTCTTTATTTTTCTTCTATCATTCTTTGTTTTGTACATCGGTATGATCCAACTGGCACTGCACTAAAAATGGTAGTATGGAATAAAATGGTTTTTATCACATTAATGACAAGATTAATTCCTATAGGAGATAAAATTAAATCTTAATTGTAACATAGCTGATGCAGTTTTATTGTCACTGTGGAATATCCAAGCATGAGTTATTTTGAAGGCTAATGTCATAAGAGATAAGCCTGACTGCTGATTTGAGATAGCTCTCAAAGGTGCCCTCAGGTCCCCATCCCCAATTTTACATCTTAATCTATGCAAGCAGCAGTAGTTATATATTGGTCAGCAAAGGATAGAAGGATCGTTTTAAGTTACCACTATGTTCCCAATACATGCTGTCTCTTGCATGTATGGTAGAATGTATATCATTCTATTTCACATATATGTTTGAATTGCAAATTATGGTATCCTTAGGAATCATGGGTGATGTTGGAGGTTGTTGAAAGCTGAACTTCCCATGTTGGGCAGTCTGGTCTGGAAGCCATGATTTTAATTCCTCATATACTTGCATTCAAATTGGTGAAGTGGAAATCAAGATTGACACCAAATTCTCATGTTCTCATCCCGTCAAATGATTGACTTCCCAATCCTTCTCCATACTTTATCCCACCTATATTCCCAATTTCTTCCCCTTCATCTCTAACCCATTTCCAGTGTTACCTTCATCCAGTCAGGTCATAGTGGCACATGTCAGGTCTTATTCACAATCAGTGGCATACAAGAGTGGGGTGATGGGAATGGTTAGGCAATAAGGGGGTGCATTTTCCTGGTTACTTAGGGATATAGTGGTGTTACTGCTACTAGTACACCAATTGGCAGTTGGCAGCATGGTACAGCAAAAGTGAAGGAAGAGAGTATTTAAAAAGTCTCTGTCCTGGGTATCAAAAATGCTAGAAATGCTGTTCACAATTAAATTATATGCTAAATTTATTTCATACAGATCTGATTGTCTATAAGATTAGGGTTAAATTTCTGCACTAGTCATCCATGGCAGAGAATCTGTGATTGCTTAACAGTAGTGGATACTGTTGTTGGATCTGTTTTTAGTATAGACTGGCATGACAAGTGACCTATCAAGTCAGAAGAAACTCATTTGCCTCCTAAGTCGTTGTTAGTTTCTTTGTTTGTTAGTCTGTTTCTGGAAGCCACACATGGCTCAATATATTGCATTTAGTTTAAAAGACTACCAAATTGCAGACTGTAAAAGTCTGCAGTAGGAAACAATTGTACAATCTCAGTTTCAGACAAATGTCTGACACAATGCTGTAAAGAATATACTTTAAGGATTATAACCAAAAGCTTCAATAAAAAGATAAAGGCTTAAGAGATTGAAATGAAGGTGTGTGTTGTCAACCATAACATTAGTGTGTCAGATAATAAGGAGCAGTTAACACATGGTTGACTAAATTTCCTTAAGGCCGTTAATAAAAACTTGCAAGAATAGTTACTGGCAGTATGAAAATGACATAGATAAATGATCAGAACTAACTCCAAGTAAGCTAAATGTAGAAGAAGAATTTCTGCTCCATCTGTTATTTTAAAATGTGATGCTTTATTCTCCATAAGATAGCCAATGAATTGGTGACAAATTTTTCTTTAATAATTTTAAAAGAAGGACATTTAAAGTGTTCATCATTGTCCTAAGTTATGATCGAGCATTATGTGGGCTGGCTGAATATTTGCCTGGCAGTATCTTCTTTGTAGTTTCAGGCTGTAAAGACCAAAAATATTATTCTTCAAGGAAGACTGTTGGCAGCTTTAGGGTTGTTTAGTATTACTAAGATGTGGCATGCTCCATTGTATCAGTTTTCAAAATACAGTATATCTTAATACCTGATCTCTGAAAAATGAAGACTTCCATTGCGAATGCTCTTAGTTTGTTCTGTTCCCTTCCAATAATTTATATTCATTATGTGCCTTCAGTTTGGTGTCAGCTATTAGTGACCATATAGGTAACTTTTCTCCATGATGATCTCTCCATTTTCCAATAGTCTTCCAATAGTATGTTCACCACTGTAGCTTAGTCTTTCCACTTTACTGCTGATCATTCTCTGATACTTCTCCATTATTATGGCCTTCTCAAGGGAGTTAGGTTTATGCAGGGTTGGGATTCAAAATTTTTAACAACCGGTTCTGTGGGCATGGCTTAGGTGGTGGGCGTGGCTTGGTGGTCATGTGACTGGGTGGACATGGCTTGGTGGCTATGTGACTGGGTGGACATGGCTTGGTGGTCATGTTATTGGCTGGGTGTGGCCAACTCAATATCACTCACATTGAGGCACACATCTCCTCGCCTGGCCTCTCATGACTGTGGGATGATGCAACAGTTATAAGTGTGAAAAATGGTCATAAGTCACTTTTTTCAGTGCCATTGTAACTTGTACCAGCAAAGGAGGGAAAAAAAACTTCAGAGACGTTCCTGAGGAAGGAAGTTTAGTCCTGCCAAGAATGTAATAAGGGTTAATGCAGAGGCAGTTTATGTAAGCAACACCAGAATGTTTCCTTCCTGCCTTCCTTACAGGATTAGGCCAGTAATTTCCTCTAACAACCAGTTCTCCAAACTGCTTAGAATGTTAACAACCAGTTCTAGCAAGTAGGTGCAAACTGGTAGAATCCCACCCCTGAGTTTATACAAAATGTCCCCTGAATATGATAATATTAATCCTATTTCATCCATAGTTATAGGGAATAGCACTGCTTGCACTACTGTGATCTTGTAGCCATGGATTCATCACAGCATCTGAACATCTTTCACAAGGCCTTCATGGCTGCTCTACCAAATGCTTGGGTATGACATGTTTCTAAGTTGCTTGTTCTTTTACTCTTGATGGTTGATCCTAAATGGGAGAAGCTAGCTTCCATATGATCATTATTTGAGAAAGCAGGCAAATAATTGGATAGTGACTTGAGTTGCAAGATTCTATTTTTAGTACATAGAACTAAAGTCAAAAGCCTGGTACATCAAGAAATGTACAGTACCTACAACTGTCTGAAATCTATTTATAACTGATCAAGATTTTTTAATTTAAATTATTTAAATATTTAGACAAATTTTCATTAAAAATAGGAATAGACTTAATCAGAATGTATGTTTCTGCATTTCATATTATTTTTCAACTGTGCACACTTAGGTCATGGGGAAGGTACATTTCTAAACTGTACATTCAGACTTGCTGTGTGTGAATGAAAAAGGTCATTGCGAACATTGAACAAGACAAAAGCTATACAGAAATAAGAGTTGAAGTAGATTGTCCACTCCTCATGATAAGTATAATTATCTGTTCCTTTTGGACTGTTTTGTACTATCTTAAACTAGACTAGCCTGCTGTTCTCATTATGTGGTCATTAAAATATTGTACCAGTAATAAAATATTTAACAGCTAATATGGATATTATTCCAGTGATCATATCCTCAATCACATATAGCAAAATAACTTGGACTTCCTCAGCTGTATGTCAAATAAAAGTAGAAAGTTACAAAGGAGGATTTGGTCCATAGTAATAAGAATTACTATATAACAGGATAGGTGTTCTGATCCCTCCAGATATCTGCTATAATCATGTATCATTGAATATAGTGATCATATAATATCTGAGCTGAAGTGCAAAACATTATGAGGACACTCAGATGCCCACTCCATCATACCATAAGTTTATTTTGAACACACAAATATATAAGTGAAATGCCTCAGGTGTTTAAAACTTCATTAGGGATTATTTCAATGCCCCCTTAATAGTTTTCCAAATTGAGTTAGAATAAGCAAAATATGAACAGATTCAACACCTAGAATAAGATAATAGCATGCAATTGGATGCTATGTCTGTTAGTGACCAATAGTAAAATTTCCAGACCTGATTTTTAAAATGAGCTAAATAAATCTGCTTCAGATTTAGTAAGAAGGCATGTATTCAGAATAAGCGAGTTGTATAAGCTTTGTAACCATTAACTTAATGAATATTCTGAACAGAATGTTTTTCATTAATGATGTTCCACATTTTCCCCTGTGCTGTCCATAGCAGTTTTGTTCAAGATATCTGTATTCATGGGAGGTATCTCAATTATGTGCTGTGCCTATCCAATTAAAGAGTCTTTGATTAAATCATAGCGTTAGTTTTTGTTTTGAACCTCTGCTGTATGGTCCCTTTCAGATACCATCAGGGAGGAAAAAAAGGTGAAAGGATGTAATCAACATTCCAGTAAACAGTTATGATGTCGTTCTCATTACATTCTTCTCCTATTTGAGAAAGGATAGGAAAGATACCAGCACATGCAAGGAGAATCTCAGAAGTTTTCTTGCACTAGGGTTGGTCTCATCATTTCTGATCATAGAAGCTTAAAACAATAGCTGTGATCTTTATAACAGATGTTTAATTGTTTCCTCTGGATTGTTATAGAATTGCTAGTCCTGGTCTTCTCACTCAGAAGTTAGATAGGTATGTATATCTGTATATCATACTTACACAGATATATGATTCATGTATGATTAAAAATCACAGTTAAAACAATTGTTTAATTAACTGTCATTTGTTTAAGAACAGTAACATTTAAAACATTGACTTATGTTAAATCATTTACAGTTCCTTTAAAGCATCTTTAATCAATATGTCAATTAATACCTAACAAGTGACACTAACATCATAAGCTATTAGGTTTATTTCAACAGTTCACATAGAAATCTTACAATAAGTGCTCTTAATTGTAGCATAGGAAAAAGATAGAAACATAAAGCTTAAGTCATAAAATAGAACAATATGCGTTCTATTTTAAGGAAGGAGGAAAAACCACTCATTCAGTTATCTTTGTGAGCTGCACAATTCTAAAGTTTATCATAGAAGATGTTAATGAAGAAACATGCCTAAGCCATTCATGAAGTTTCTGAGCTGTAGTTTAAAGCTAGTTTCAGTTACTTCATTAGTTCTATGCATTTTATAAATTTGAATGTGTGCATAAGGGTTTCACTCTTAGTCAGGCATATAAAACATGCATTATTTTTAAAAATGCCCAGTTTCTAAAATCATATTAAATTTAGGACCCTTTCAACTGTGACAAATTCTCACTATAGGAAAGTACATGTGGACAAAACAAATAGGAAAGTACATGTGGCCAAACAGCAAACTGACAGCAAAGCAATGTTGTTTATATATATTTATTAAATTTATATGCCACTCATTTCACTATCAAAGCAATTCTTGATTTCTTAAAACAGAATAGAATTATACTGTGAAGCCCTGACCATATAATGATGCTGTTCAATTAAAATAAATATACAAAGGTGTTACTCCAATTAGTCTACAGGAGAGTATATTTAAAGAAAAAAGATGAATGGATAACTGTAAAGGAACAGACAAAAAATGTTAAGTACTATGAATTGTATTGAGATAAGATAAGCAAAATATAATTAAGAAAGTTAAAAGAGGGAAGAAGTTATACAGAAAACTGAAAATGGTAATAAGATATGGATTGACATATAAAGTAAATATTGTTTTTGAATTTGTGTCTGTGCGAAGAGTTTTAACCCGGGATTAAGCAGCTTTCAGAAATGAGGTTTTTTATGTTCTGTGTTATGTATGTTTTGTCTATTGTTTTTTTTTAAAGGCAAAAATTTTGATTAGTAAGAAATATAATCTGGACAATAGAAGGAAAAGGAGAAATTGGGATAAGATATGAAGATGAGCAGATAATGTAAAAATGAGATAAATTAGAAAAATGTGATATAAAATAATGTGTTACCTGCTTTGTAAAGATTTATGATGGAAAGCGGGTTTTTTTTAGTGTTTAATGATGTTTTGTCTTGTTTGTTTCTTGTTAAAATTAATAAAATTTGTTTCAAAAATAAATAAATAAATAAATATACAAATTAAATATATCAAAAACATTTAAATCCAGATTTAAATGAGAAGAGAAACAAAGGTATTTTACCAATCTTTTAACAACATCTTGTTAAAAATGAAGTATTATCAGATGCATTGAAAAGGCAAAGAGATATGACTGGGGAAAAAAGAGTTGCCTTAGATGAGATGGGCAGTACATAAATCTAATAAATAAATATTTTTTTAAAAAAATCTCAAAGGGAATATTGCCACAGCAAAGGTTGACTAAGTGGTAGAAATCTACATCAATTCTAATCTACATCAATTCTTAATAAATTAGAAACCTCTGGTCACAAACACTTATGACTACGACCAAATCGGGTTCTCACCAAAAAATTCACAATATTTTTTAACAGCCAATTTCCCCTTCTGTGCCATTTTTTTTGTAAGCACCAAATTTCCAAAATTAGCATCTTTATTCATAACAAACCAATCTATTTTATCCTATTTACAGATACAGATAATCAGAGTTGGAAGGGACCTTGTAGGTCATCTAGTCCAACCCCCCGCCCAAGCGGGAGACCCTACACCATTTCTGACAAATGACAGTCCAATCTCTTCTTGAAAGTCTCAACTGATGGCGCTCCCACAATTTCTGAGGGCAAGCTCTTCCATTTTTTAAACTGTAAATTTAAACATGTATTTCTCATTATGTATTTTCGAATATATTTTCTACAAATGTAATTACTAATTATATCATCTCAAAGGGTCTACTTTTAAATACCTCAGCATACTTTTTTGCTGAGACCTTCATTGCAATATTTTTGGAAATTGCAAACCTGAGTGGAAATTAAAACATTCTAAATCATATTTTAGTCCAAACAATGTAGATGAAGTATACTTATTTGAAAACCTACATTTGCTGAATTTCTGAATTTGCATCAGATGCAAATGACAGATAAATTCAACTAGTCAATCTGGTAGAAATCTGGGATTAAGCTAAAGATTGGCAGACCTTACTTTTGGAAACTTGAAGATGGGCTTTGCAGTAAAAATGTAACTGTCTTTCTAATTAATTTATCTGCAAAACCCACACAGATTGTAGCTTTCCTTTCTTTGTAAGCTTCCTCGGTTTGAAGGTACCTGCATAAAATATGCCTAACTTTCACCCTTTGCTTACATGCTAAATTTGTAGTAAGTAAAGAATCCAGTATTTTCTTTCTGCTGCCAATCTCTCAGATTCTGTTTTTAGGGCTGGAAATGGGCAACAAAAGCTGAGAAACAATCCTTCTTCCCATGAAAAAAGTAGGAAAACTGTTTCCAAGATGCCATCCAAAAAAGCTATTTATTTTAAATCCATGCTATTTACTCTTGTCCACTGTTGCCTTTTTTTGTAGTCAGCCCAAACCAAAATGTCTATGAAAGAGAGAGCTGAGTGATCAGAATGGAAACATAATGTAAGCCTGTAGCTAAGAAATTGATCAGGTGGAAAGAACTTGGATCCTGAGAGCATTATCATCAATTTTATGATATTATAGATGAGGAATCACAGCTTATTCGTATAATCAAGATATGTCAGAAGAAGTGGGGAAACTGTCTTTAAAATAGAACAGCTAAAGGTGAATACAATTTGGCTATGTAATAGACTGGGAATGAAATGAAGGTCATGTGGTTAAGGCACTAGCATAGAAATCAAGAGTGTGTGAATTTTAACCCTGCTTTAGGCACAAAATCCAGCTGGGTAATTTTGTGCCAGGCACTGTCTCTCAGAAAACTCACTTCAGAGGATTGGTGTTGTTGGGAAAGTAGAAAGAGGAAGGAGTATTACAGTATATTTGCTGTCTTGAATTCTTTACAAAAAAAAAAATAATAAGAAAGATGAAACTTTAAAAGCGATGCTCTTCCTGCCACAGCTAGGGGATATGTGGATCAACTTTCTAATATGAATATTTTTCCATATATTATATACCTTGTCTCATAACTCCTGAAAAATGACAGCATTGGTAGTGATACAGAACATTAGTGGTACAAGGCAAAGAGGCAACTATCTTAGATCATGAAAACATAGGACGGCCACTCAATTCCCCTTGTTGCCCATTCTTTCTCAAGCCTTCAATAAACTTTACTGTGTAGTGTAAAGCTATGTGAGCTTCAGAACACTAGATGACAACAAATAGGGAGTTCAGATTGTTATATCCAACCAATGAAAATGATGGCCATTTATCTCCTGCCCGGAAACTGTTATATTTTTTTCTCAGTTTTCCATGTTGCTATTTACCTTTGATGCAGTATACATGCTATTCCCCTTTATATAATGCAAAATATAGAAATGGAAGAAGGAAATAATAATTATTTGAGTATAAGGTATGAAAAAGGAACAGAACTTAAAAACTGTTTACATCAATACCATTCATTTTACCTCTTTATAACTTCTTATTCTTGCTTCTACAATGCCTAGGAATCTTTCCACGCCTTGCTTTTTGCACCTTAACTTCTCAATATTTTTTGCAGATCTCATCAACTCAATCCATCTGTTAAAACAAACTCTGCTGTATATTAATCTCTTTTTCTAATACCTATGTGCTTGATATGGCTGCAAAAATTGGTTAACTTTTGAAGCATAACATCACTATGTTGATATTGCTTTTCCAGTCTGGGAACCCAAAGAAGTTGAAATTGATCGTCTTGTTATTTAAGCTACCATCTCAAAAGTTCTTTGTGCATTTCTTTGGCTTTATCACATCAACAGTAACATAATGCATCTATAATGGTCTGGGTTTTCTTCTAAAATCTCACTATTTATATTCAAGGGGGGGAAAGATATTTAAAGTTATTCAGAGAGAAAATATCATACAGTTCTAAAACAACCTAATTCACTAGAGAAATCTGTTATTTCTAGGTCAAAAATGAACCTGCATCATCTGCAGGAAATTGTCAAAAATACATTATTTTTCTAACACTTAAGCAGAACTTTGTAAAATCAGTCCTAATTTTTTCTGGCGAGTGAACTTCATTAGTAGTCAAAGTATGATGCCAACACAACAGCTCTTTACTGGATCTCCCCTTTAAAAAAAATTACCGCACTCCTCTCCTAAGAGTTCATAAATGCAGCAATTAGAACAATTAGAGAAGATGCCTTTCCCCCTGCATGTAAAAGATGATTCTTCCTGTAGTGTGGTTGTGTTTCTGTCAATTTGAATTAGCAGAAAATGCATTTTTAATCATGCTTCAGATTGGTAACGTATCTTTATTATTAATAGCATTTCAGAGCTGTGTATGAGAACATTTAATCTGCAGAGTTCCTTGCAACAGATGGGAGCCTTTGTTATACATTAAACCCATATTTCTCAATCTTATATGGGAAATTTTAGGACTTGAAGTCCATACATCTTAAAATTACAGAAGTTGATAAAAACTACATTAGACTTCTAAAGCTTCAAATATATAGTTGTGCTCAGAAGTTTATATACCCTGGCAGAATTTATGATTCTTGGCCATTTTTCAGAACATATGAATGATAACACAAAAACTTTTCTTTCACTCATGGTTAGTGGTTGTCTGAAGCCATTTATTATTAATCAATTGTGTTTATTCTATTTAAATCATAATGACAACAGAAACTACCCAAATGACCCTGATCAAAAGTTTACATACCCTGGTGATTTTGGCCTGATAACATGCACACAGGTTGGCACAAGGGGTTTGAATGGCTATTAAGGTAACCATCCTCACCTGTGATTTGTTTGCTTATAATTAGTGTATGTGTAGAAAAGATCAGTGAGTTCGTGGACTCCTGACAGAACTTTGCATCTTTCATCCAGTGCTGCACTGACATATCTCGCTTCTGAGTCATGGGGAAAGCAAAAGAATTGTCAAAGGATCTGCAGGAAAAGGTAGGTGTAAAAAACAGGAAATGGATATAAAAAGATATCCAAGGAATTGAGAATGCCAATCAGCGGTGTTCAAACACTACTCAAGAAGTGGAAAATGAGTGGTTCTGTTGAAACCAAAACACGGTCAGGTAGACCAACTAAAATTTCAGCCACAAGTGCCAGGAAAACTGTTTCAAGCTACACAATAAGGAAGCACTGGAAGAAAGATGGGCTGCATGGCCGAGTCACCAGAAGAAACCCACTATGCAAATGCCACAAAGTATCCTGCTTACAATATGCCAAATAGCACAGAGACAAGCCTCAAACCTTCTGGCACAAAATCATTTGGAGTGATGAGACAATAGTGAGCTTTTTTGGCCACAACCATAAATGCTACATTTGGAGAGGAGTCAACAAGGCCTGTGATAAAAAGTACACCATTCCTACTGTGAAACACAGAGGTGGATTGCTGATGTTTGGGGGATATGTGAGCTACAAAGACACAGGAAATTTGGTCAGAAATGATGGCAAGATGAATGCAGTATGTTATCAAAAGATACTGGAGGAAAATTTGCATTCATCAGCCCGGAAGCTGCGCATGGGACGTACTTGAACATTCCAACATGACAATGATCCTAAACACAAGGCCAAGTCGACCTGTCATTGGCTATAGCAGAATAAAGTGAAGGTTCTGGAGAGGCCATCTCAGTCTCCTGACCTCAATATCATTGAGTCATTCTGGGGAGATCTCAAACGTGCAGTTCATGCAAGACAGCCCAAGAATTTAGAGGAACTGGAGGTTTTTTGCCAGGAAGAATGGGCAGCTTTACCATCTGAGAAAATAAAGAGCCTCATCCACACATACCACAAAAGACTTCAAGCTGTCATTGATGTTAAAGGGGGCAATACACATATTAAGAACTGGGGTAAACTTGATCAGGGTCATTTGGGTAGTTTCTGTTGTCATTATGATTTAAATAGAGTAAACATAGTTGATTGATAATAAATGGCTTCAGCCAACCACTAACCATGAGTGAAAGAACATTTTTGTGTTATGATTCATATTCTCTGAAAAATGGTCAAGAAATCATAAATTTTGCTGGGGTATAAATTTATGAGCACAATTGCACAACTGTAGTTGTTGTAGCAGTTGTAAAGACCACAGACAAAGCGAAGGGTGCTGCTAGTGTTTCATACTGTTGACACCATCATTACTAGTTCCTTGTCCCATAATGTTAACTTTTTCAAGATCAACAGCAATGCCCCTTGGACAACAGAAAATAAGAAAAGGGCCTTTATTAGGTATAAATGACTTTACATTTTGACTTTACAGATTTTTGAAAACATTTTCTTAGATTAGATTGCCATGTCAGTATATCTCATCCTTGCTAAAATATTGGCTAAAGTGCCCATAGTGATGAAAAGATTAAAAAACACCACTTATTAAATGATATTGAAGGGGGAAAAGATTTGGTTAGTATGTTTTCAACCCTAGAGTAAATCTGTTGAATCAAAATATGAATCTTTTAAACAAACAATTCTGTTTTTAAGATTGTTTGTATGTTTACTTCTGTGTTGTACTGTGTCTAATAAGTTGACTGTGTATTTTGCTTAAAACTGGACAAAGATCTAAAAACAGCATGATTTTTTAATTTTAAAAAATGAAGATAACATTCTGGGATAGGCAGGATCACTGGGAAGGAATACAATTTTCACTTCTATCTCCAGTGAATTTATTCCCAGCATGATTCTCTTCCTTTCACTCTATCCAATGATTTTTTGATGGAATGAGGTTTATTTAATCTATTTGTAAAGACAAACTTTGCATGTGTATATGAGAGAGACTGTTTATGTAAATATACATGCTTACCTAACCATACACACATGTATTTTAGTATGTACAGTAAATACACTGATATATATGCATCCTATGCAGACTTATAGCCTATCATCTGGTGCTTTATGAGCTTTCTGGACTTGCAACTACCATAACTTTATCTGGGAGGTTTCCTATATATACTTACAGGATTGCATTGCACATCTGCAGTCAATCAATCATTTCAGGCATCTTTTTCTTCTATTAAAAAACTAGTCTAAAAGCAGAGTCCTCCAAAAAATGGTGCATTGAGTGGGGGCGGGGGGTTCTCCTGGCAGCACATAGCTGATTTTGCAGTCAAAACTGGTTCTTTAACAGAACACTTCCCAGATTTATGGACTTTCTGCATGTGAAATACAATAATAGATTGTTAACAGAGGCTTTGAAGTTCAGTTTTGTTGTTAATTTTTTTATATAGTAGATAGAGGATAAGCAATTTATGTGTATGGATTTTTTATTTTTTTTAGTTTTGTTTTGTTTTCCTTTCTTCTGTTGAAGTTTTATTTTACCTTTGGAAATAAAATTTAATTTTTTTAAAAAAAATACTGATCTTGAAGGAAATAAAAATAGGCAGTCTTTATTTGTTACTTTGTCATTGTGTAACAAAGAATGATGTTTCTACTATCAACTCAGACAGGCATTCCACTGAGTAATATATAGAGATATTTAGCTAGAAACATAATTTGTGCTTTAATATCAGGATATGTTTCTTAGATTATATTAAGGGTGATTCAGAATTCAGAAACTATTAGCATACTTGTCATTGTTTGGAAGCCTTTGGGATCCCTTCCGCTTTAAATGAAGAAGTTTCATTTTGGATTTGTGATGAAGTTTTACTATTCCTGTCTAGCCTTTGATAGTAATTGAAACTCAACTCCTAAGCAGTTCTACAAGTTTCCTAAAATTTAATTTTCTATCATTTTATTGAATTATACTTATTTATTATTTTTTGTGTGAGGATCAGAGTTCAAATGCTTAGTTTTAAATGTTTCTAATTTCATTCTGGATAATTTTTCTGCTAGCACAATTTTGAACTCAGAGGAGGGACGGAGAAGGATCTTGCCATTTCTAACTGTGCAGGTATTATTCACTGCCTGAGAACTTCTGATCTGGTTATTTCCAATTTGCATCTGAGTCCACAAGAAGCTTCTCTAGATTTTTTATTTTATTTTGGTAGGTTATTGATATTGCAAGTATAGCATATTCCTACCTTTCATATATAGAAAAGTACTCATTGTTTTCCTGCTTTGAATTTGTAAACAAAAGTTTGAAATATGCTGTATATACCCTGGACTATATTATCATATTCTCTTAGCCATTTAAGGTCGCTAATTAGGACTCTTAGCATATGAGACACTGATATGACTTCTGAACTATTTTATTTTTTATTTGAGTTTACTTCCGAGTTTTGGCAAATTAATGATAAACAGTCAGAGCTGTGGATAAGAGGAAAGGTGTTTAGAGTCTGAGATATCCAGTTGATGTGCTTTGATGCAAGCTAATTGGTAGAAGATTGCTTCTTTCTCTTTTAAATTAGATATTGTTAAAAATATTAACAAGAAAAAAAGCAGAAAATGCCAATGTAGAATACTGAATACAATTTAATGCTCCCTTAAATCAAGCTGAAGTTTTGGTGACTGCAGTCATGCACTTTTCTTGGCCTGGTTTGTCTCTAAAACATACAGGTGAAACTCGAAAAATTAGAATATCATGCAAAAGTTCATTTATTTCAGTAATGCAACTTAAAAGGTAAAACTAATATATGAGATAGACTCATTACATGCAAAGCAAGATAGTTCAAGCTGTGATGTGTCATAATTGAGATGCTTATGGCTTACAGCTCATGAAAATCCGAAATCCGCAATCTCAGAAAATTAGAATATTGTGAAAAGGTTCAATATTCTAGGCTCAAAGTATCCCACTCTAGTCAGCTAATTAAGCCATAACACCTGCAAAGGATTCCTGAGCCTTTAAATGGTCTCTCAGTATGGTTCAGTAGGAATCACAATCATGGAAAAGACTGCTGGTCTGACAGTTGTGCAGAAAACCATGATTGGCACCCTCCATAAAGAGGGAAAGCCTCAAAAGGTAATTGCAAAAGAAGTTGGATGTTCCCAAAGTGCTGTATCAAAGCACATTGATAGAAAGTTATGTGGAAGGGAAAAGTGTGGAAGAAAAAGGTGCACAAGTAGCAGGGTTGACTGCAGCCTGGAGAGGATTGTCAGGAAAAGGCCATTCAAAAGTGTTGGGGACTTTCACAAGGAGTGGACTTAGAGCCACCACACACAGACAGATCCTGGACATGGGCTTCAAATGTCATATTCCTCTTCTCAAGCCGTTCCTGAACAAACAAACAACATCAGAAGTGTCTTACCTGAGCTAAACAAAAACAGAACTGGTCTGTTGCTCAGTGATCCAAAGTCCTCTTTTCTGATGACAGCAACTTTTGCATCTCATTTGGAAACCAAGGACCCAGAGTCTGGAGGAAGAATGGAGAGGCACACACTGCAAGATGCTTGAAATCCAGTGTGAAGTTTCCACAGTCTGTGTTGATTTGGGGAGCCATGTCATCTGCTAGTGTTGGTCCACTGTGCTTCATTAAGTCCAAGTCAACACAGCCGTCTACCAGGAGATTTTGGAGCACTTCATGCTTCTTTCCGCAGATGAGCTTTATAGGGATGTTGACTTCATTTTCCAGCAGGACTTAGCACCTGCCCACACTGCCAAAAGCACCAAAACCTGGTTCAGTGACCATGGGATTACTGTGCTTGATTGGCCAGCAAACTTGCCTGACCTGAACCCCATAGACAATCTATGGGGCATTGCCAAGAGAAAGATGAGAGACATGAGACCAAACAATGCAGAAGAGCTGAAGGCCACTACTGAAGCATCCTGGTCTTCCATAACACCCCAGCAGTGCCACAGGCTGATAGCTTCCATGCCACACCGAATTGAGGCAGTGATTGCTGCAAAAGGGGCCCAAACCAAATACTGAGTACATATGCATGCTTATACTTTTCAGAGGTCCAATATTGTTCTATGTACAATCCTTGTTTTATTGATTGCATGTAATATTCTAATTTTCTGAGATTGTGGATTTGGGGTTTTCATGAGCTGTAAGCCATCATTATCACAATTATGACA